ACTGTCACCTTATCACTGTGAAGTGGCCTCTCATGGAGCTCTCTGGGATTGTCACCACTCCAATAGCACATATTCTGCTTGTTGACATATCCAGATAGGTGAAAATGTGCCTCATCACCAAAGAAAACAAGTGCGTCAGGGGGTAAAGTTTCCAATAATGATTCGCACACCGTTATTCGGTTCTGGAAATCATGTGGTGACAATTCTTGCACAACCATCTTTATAGGGATGGAAATGAAGATGTTCGTGACGAAGTCGGTGCATTGAACGATTGGATATGTCTAGGGCGACTGCAAGTTTGCGAGTGGAGCGTCTTGGAGATCTCAAAATCGACTGTCAAACTGCCTCCACATTTTCTGGCATCGTAACGGTCCGCTGTTGTCTTGATGATTTCTTCACCACACTCCTGGTTGTCCTAAAGTTCTCTACCCACAAAACAATCGATTTCCAGTCGGGAACCAGACCTCTGGGCTTAATTCCGAAGTGAGTATGGAACGCATGCTGCACCGCCACATAGGAATGGTTGTTTGAAAAATAGGCTTCAACAGCAAACGCACGCTTACTGAGGGGTATTAGATAGAAACTTCCACAACTGCTGCGTTCGCCGAGCCTATCCCCACTTTTCTGCGACCTCCCCTCCCTTCACAATGCGTCTTCACAAAAAGGAAGTTTCTGTGCCCCACCCTGTATAATGTACTTTGGTTCTTATTTATGAGTCTGAAGAGTTGATATTGATGTCAATAACAATGAAAATGGTGCCAGAAACTGTATAACTTGCCTGAAGAGTGCCAGCTGTTATCTATCACCTTACAATTTCCATTCAGGCATCAGCATCTGCAATAAGTCCAAAATGGAGTAAAAACTACAGTTAAGATTCATTAAATTCAGGGATTAATGTAATGAAAGCTGGCAAGCAATTTAAAATACTTGCAAAGTAATAGATCAACTCTCCAGTATAATTTTGGAGATAAATTAAAATTTTTATCTAATATTATGAACTCCAATCACGTTTTCACGTTTAAATTTTCAGCACTGGTACTAGAAATGTCCTACTCACTTACATCCAATTTACTTTAAAGTCATTAATTTACAATTACAGCCATTAAATTTCACTGACTTGATAACTTCAAACAAGCATTTATTTTTTCCTATAAATGGTATCCACAGAGGAGGGATCACCTAAAAGTCACTGATTAAGACTTCCTAAAGGTAGCAGTTCATCCCAGACGAGGACAGCACAGTATCTCTACTTCAGAATGTTTCTGTAACAAAATATAAGAAAAAATTCTAACTGTGGAAATGATAGTGGCTTCTCCTTTTTTAATTTAAATAAACCTCCATTTAATGTTCCTCAATTTAACATTTATTTTCATTTTATATTCTATTTCAATTATCCCAAGTCAATAATTTCTGTGTTAAATTCGCTCCACTGAAGATTTTTCTCAGTTTAGTGGTCGAATCCAAATTCCTCAAATGGGGGTTTCAGTAACAATGGTCATAAGGAAACATGATAATCCAACACATTTTCAGCAAGGTGGCTAAGGCTGCGATGATTCTGAATCATATTCAGGAGGTGCTCAGAATGAATCCTGGCTAAGACACCAACTAGACTGGGATTTCTTGTAGTTTTCTTCAATCCCAACAGGCAACTGATAGTACAGGTCTCCATACTAAGACAGAGCCACTTCACATCCCTTCTAATTCATTATTCACTACCACACTACCATTCAACATTACATAGCATGAACTACTGACATCATTACATAAACCATGAGCCATACATAACCAGAAACAAAAGGAAGGGAAAGACGCATCAGATGCTGAAACTGTCACATAAGAGAATTTTGCTGCTATACTGAGAAATATTGATTAAAAAGCAGAGGACTTATCAGTTGAAGATTTGTATGCATGTGTTTTGTCACAGTTGCTTCAAAGATATGCTGAATGGAAACAAATCATAAACAAACACATACTTTATTTATATGATGATAAATTTTAAATGTTCCTGCAAATCTATTAAAATTTAGGCACTTTCCAGTCTAATAATCAGCAATGATTCATAATATTTTAATAGCGGTAGAAATTACAATATAAAACAACGTGTGAATGGAATTTCTGACCACAATGCCCGGCTAATTTCAATTAATAATGTAACTGTAACAAAAAGGACACAGAAGAGGTTTTATAAGTTAGATATTAATAAAATACTATAGCTGAATTCCAATTTAGGTTAAGCTGGGAACAGTGGGATGACATATTTGTGAATACCGATGTAAATAATATGTTCAATAATTTTCTTAATATTTATTTAGGATGTTTTTATACTAGCTTTCAAAAAAGATAAATTAGATATAATAATATCCAAAACAAATGGATTACTAAAGAGATTCAAATTTCATGTACAAGAGAACTGTTCCTGGCATGTAGACACAGTGATGATATTAATCTTAAAACATATTATATGCACTATAGTAAAATATTAACAAAAGTAATAAAGGCTGCAAAGAAACTACATTATAACCGAATTATTTTAAATGCTGAAAATAAAATGAAAAGCACTTGGAGAATTATAAATGAAGGGGATAACCAAAACTGAATGAGGATATCCAAACTTTGACATTAGACAACAAACTAATAAGTAATCAAAAGGAAATGGCAGATTCTTTCAATAGATACTTTCAACTACAGCTGAGTCAATGCTCGTCAATAATTATGATAATAAATTTAGAACTAATATTGTTAATCCAACTACTTATTTAAGGGAAATTTTTAAATGTCCATTCAATAAAATGACTTGGAAGTATACCAATATGCGCGAAATTGATAAGATTATTAAGTCTTTGAAAACGAAGGATTTGAGTGGTTATGATGAAATCTCTAGCAGAATAATTAAAGTAAGCTCACCTTTTATCATTTCACCTCTGACGCATATCTATAATGAAATACTGTGTTCGGGTGTCTTCCCAGATAGACTAAAATATGCTATAGTTAAGCCATGCTTTAAAAAAGGCAACAGGCAGGAAATTTCTTACTATAGACCTACATTGTTGCTCACTCAATTGAAAAACTTATTTATGAAAGATTAATTACACATATTGAAATGAATAGTATCTTGGGCAATGAACAGTATGGATTTAGAACACACTCCTTAACCGAGATGGCGGCCTTTTCATTATTAAATAGTATACTTCAATGAATAACAAAATGTTAGCGGGTGGTATTTTTTGTGATCTACAAAAGGCCTTTGACTGTGTTAAACATAAAATATTAATTGATAAACTTGAATTTTATGGAATTGAAGGTAAATTTAAAACATTAATAAGTCTTTTTTAATGGATAGATACCAGAGAGTAGAACTGAGTAACAAAAGTAACAGTGGGGGCATATATAATTGGGAAAGGATTGAATGTGGAGTCCCACAAGGCACTATTCTTAGCCCCTTGTTCCTTTTACTTTATATAAATGACTTACCAAAGATACTAAACAAAGATAAATATATGGTTTTGTACGCGGATGACACGAGTATAATAACTGCAGATATAAATAATTCAAATTTTGAAATAAATCTTAATTGAACCATCAAGAAAATACACACATGGTTTAGTTCCAATCTACTTACTTTGAATCTTAAGAAAACTCAATATTTGAATTTTTGTTCAAGGAAAGGCAGTAAGAGCCCAACTCACATTGTTTGTGAACAGGAGGGCATTGCTACCATATCCAAAACTAAATTTCTTGGATTATGTATTGATGATACTTTATCCTGGAAAGGCCAAATAGAACAGATTGTTAATAAAATGGCCTCAGCTTGTTATGCACTGAGAAATATAAGACATATAGTATCAACAGAAGCATTAAAGTTGAGTTATTTCGCCTTAGCCCATTCTGTTATCAGCCATAAAATAATATTTTGGGGCAGTGCAACCAATGTACATAAAGTATTCATAATGCAGAAAAGAACTGTTAGAATCATAACCAACACTAAACCTAGAGTCATGCAAGAAGATTTTTAAGATGATGGGAATAATGACACTATACTCACAGTATATATATATACACATTACTTTTATTTATAATGAATAATAAAAACTTGCTTTTTATTAATGGCGAGATACATGAATACAACACAAAGTTCACAAAGATATACATATGCCTGCCGTGAATCTGACAAAATATAAAAAAGGACCCTATATAACAGGTATAAAAGTATTTAATTGTCTCCCTCAGTCAATAAAAATGTTAGTTAATGAGGAGGAAAGTTTTAAATCAGCACTAAAGAGGTTTTTGTATCATCACTCCTTTTACTCTATGAACGAATATTATCAACATGCAAATGAATGAATGAAAAAGATAAATGTAATTGTTTATATTCGTTAATTGAACTTTTAGTATATTTTAATACTGAAATCTTGTGAAATGTATATGTTATGATTGTGTTGTAATCTAATTAATTTTAACTTGAACAATTTCCACTTTTTGTGTTTTGATTATCACTATGTATAATTTCATTTTATGATTGCTCTGTATGCAACTGAGTTCTATTTTATGAACTGTTCTTGTGTATGTTTTCATTTCATTGTGACTTGTTCAAAATCCTAGGCTTCACCAAAAAGGATTTATCAAATTTAAAGAATAAATGAAATGAAATGGGAGATCTGGCTGTTAAGGCAACCAGCTCTAGACTACAAAGTCTCTTCTTTTCCTTTTAGTCACAGACATGACAGCTCTAAGTACCAACCAGCAACCTAGACAATAAGCAATGAAATGACATCCCAGAGGGAAAGGCAGTAAAAGCATGAAGATGACCACTTCTCTCCTCCTATTGGTATCACCAAAGGATGTGTGGAACCTTACCTCCACACCTCTTTCATGTCAGAGAATGTTGTTTAAGTGCTCTGACATCTTTTGTATTATCTATCACCAGGCTCTCTCATCTGTAAGAGCTCAGTCCTTATTTCATGTCTTTGATATCAGTTAAAGATGAACTTGTAAATACTTACTATGTTCACCATTCGCTCCCTGCGTGTCAGACAGCACACATTCAACCAATACTGGTGGGCCTGGATCTACACTTCTTTCCTGAAACCATTCACAAACTATATAGTCTGATAAATTCATTAATTCAGCTTCGCAAAATTGATTAAAATATGAATCAGAGGGCATAATGCTGATAATGTTGGTTGTGTTACTTTATATCAAGTGTTCTTCCTGCCATCTTCATGTTGCATGACTGATGTCAGGGGCATAGGAGAGCAAGTGAACATCAACAGAGGAACAGGAAAATCGTAACTGAAGATCCTGACGTGTGGAAGGTGTGTACGAAAATAGTCCCAAAGGACCTGCTCCCATGGTACTGTCTGTGAGGGAGTTTTTAGCTAGTAAACATCTGTGCTGGAACACCCTCCCTATTCACTGGATCTAGTCCCCAATGACTATTTCTGTTTCTGAAGATAAAGGAAATATTGAAAGGAAGGCATTTTGATGTCCCTGAAGATGTCCGGAGTAATATGACAGAAGCTCTGAAGGCCATTCCACAAAATCAGTTCCAAAATTGTTTTGAAGGGTGGACAAGGTGCTGGCATCAGTACATAGCTGCCCAAGGGGAGTACTTTGAAGGTGACCACAGTGATATTCAGCAATGAGGTATGTAGCACTTACACAGCAATGAATTCACGAACTTTACTGTCAGACCACGAAAGCAGAAGCATCTTAAGAAATCGCATAGAAGCAAACAGTCAGCACTTTCAAACTCTGCCGCAAAACAGGTAAACTACAATTCAGAAAAAAAGCAGGCCATGAATCCTCAGCATCTGCTGTACTGGAAGCTTGCATTATCTGCCAACAGCATCCAGTCTGTTCTTAAATTAGATATCCTGTAGTTACTTCAATCCAAGAATTTCATTCTATTTCACTCCACCTTCACACTTCTGTCCATATCATGTTGCCATTCACAAATAAGATTTACACTTCTGCAGAATTTTGCTTAGTATATAGAAGGAATTTCAGTACCTTCATAATTTACAAGTTTAAAAATAAGAATTCCTTGTAATTATTTATTTTAATATGAACTGGATGACACCATGGTCTAGAAACCCATTCATATAAGGAATTATATTCTCAAATGTTATGAGGAATAAAAATGGACTGGAAGAAACACTTCTTGTATGTGTAACTGAAACTGTGTTAATGATAAACACACACTGATGACATGCTTCTGAGGAAATAATCAGGACTGCAACCCCTTATTCCCACCACCTTTCACCATATCATTTGGAATAAGCCATGTGGAATGCAAAACATTTTCTAATTCCCACTCTACGCTTGCAGCAGTGCAAAATGGTGTGAATATAGTGTAAAATGGTACATTTTTATGTCTTCTTTGCACAAAGTGTACAGAATCAAAGCACACTACACAAAGCACATGAAATAAAAGCACACTCATCAGGTTATATCTGTCTTCTGTAGGTTTCATCCCTGGAAGTATACAATGGATACAGACGAAATTTGGTACTTGAAGTCCACACTAAAGTCACAAGAGAAATTTCACTTTGGTTTATATATGTCAAATATAACTGTAACTTCCAAGTTCAAATTAAACTGGACCAACTGTACCAAAAACTGGATCAAACACTAACTTCTTTCATGACATAAAATAAAAGTCTTATTAACATCTACAACTTAATTTAAAACCCTCTTGACGTGATAAATATTTAACAAAATACAGGGGCTAATAATTTTTGACTATGAATAGTGTCCACAGCTTTAAAACAGGTTTGTATCTGCTACCTAACATACTGCACTACTTGTATGCGGATGCTTTTCTGTTGTTGAAGAAAATTCAGTTCTACAATGACAACAAAATTATAATGAAGTAAAAAATTATTACAAGGAAATTTATTCAGCTGTCATAAAACATTCAAAATTTAAATATTATACCATACAAATAGTGAGAGGATACAGCAACATACATTTCCGATGTTAATATGGGGTAAATGCACAAAGCAGTAACTATACAAATGAACAACATTTTAGAAATACCCTCTTACTTCTTCCAAGAATGAACTGGAATCATGATCTGGTTCTTGCACGCATTCAGGTTTGTGTTCCTCTACATCTAATTCCTCTTCTTTTTTTGTGCCAGGAAATATCATATGAAGTGTAACTTGTGCTTGGGAAGTTATCTCAAAGAAGTCAGAGCACTGATCTAACTTTGCGCAACAATCCAGACAAACTGTCTTAGGCAGTGGATCCTTGGGATACAACTGAAAAAGGGTTGAACTTCTTAACAGGTAGTAATAAAATATTTTGATTACACAAAAAATTGATACACTGATGCGAAAATTCCCATACGATATACGTAATATTAACAACATTGTTAACTTTATTTGTGTAAGATGAAATTTAATTGCATCCTACATCAAAACCTGAATTAAACCTCCATTTAATGATAAATCTTTCTGCACTCGTATATTTAAAACTGGGCCACTGACATAAGTGCCAATTAAAACTAACATGCGCCGCAACAATTATCTGCTTATGGCTTGGATGTAAAGACTGACGCGAACCCGGTCAAATTATTTTGCAACTGAAGGGGTTGAATAACGATCATTCGAAAATTCTATAGCATGGTTATTTTATACCCTTCCCCTAATTCTGAATAAAGTTATGGTAAATAAACATCAAATGTCCAAACTTACAAACCTCTATCTGCAAACATTTCGTAATTTTTGTTTCTAGGCTCAATTTGTGGCCTTCTTCATCATAAATTCCTACAAAGTTATCTTTATTCACAGCACAAAGGCGACATAAATTCACAGCTCCCATATCGTCTCTGAACGAAACTTTATGTTATTGTGCCATTATAAAAACAACATTTTGTGCTCATAACTTTTATTTACACCGCTGCTACATTGATTTATAAATTTCAACGTCCCCTAAAACTATCTTCCCTGACCCTACTAAAACTCCTGAACGCTCACTACGGATCTACGGATCGTTACAGTTGGTATAACTGTGACCATTTTCTCTCCAATTTGAAAAACCAAATGAACGAAAATGGCCGGCATATTACTCTGGAACTTAGATGCCAGAGTTGCTTCTTTTTTTTTTAATTGTTACACGGTGCGCTTGTGAGCGTTGTTGTCGACGTTTCGGAGTTGCATGCTATCTCCAGCTTCAGGGTATGAGTGTTTATGTTGGTGAGGTTCTGTATATCTATGATATACTGCGTCCAGTATCTTCTTCTTCTCCAAGTTCAAGGATTACTGATGATGGTCTTTTCTGGCCTTTATGAATTCCACCTTCTGCATGGCCTTCCAGCAGAAGAAAAGGAATAAACCGCTCCGGAACGCATAGAATGGCCCAAAATTCTATCGGAGAGGAGGGTAGTTTTTCAGGAACCGTATAAAATAAAGTCAATTGTTGGTATTCATATCGTTCAAAGAGGGTTCAAAATTTAGAAAATGTTAATTGCGTAAAAATACGATATCATCTCATAAAACAAAACAAAGAAATTTAAAACAGTAAACATGACACTCCACACTTTGGCCATGTTTTCGTCGTGCTCCATGCCCTCCATGCCATTTGCTCTCTCCTTTTTTTTTTTATTGCTAGTGGGGTGGGACTGAGTCCCTTGTACTGCGGCCACTTCTGGCCCATTGTACCAGCCCCAGATGATAGGTCAGGATGATTGTGGAGCAATTGGTGGAATGAAGATTGCAGGGGAAACCGAAGTACTCCGAGAAAACCTGCCCCAGCGCCACTTTGCCCACCACAAATCCCACTTGACCACACCCGGGATCGAACCCGGGCCGCCGCGGTGGGAAGCCAGCGAGTAACCGCTTGAGCTATGGCGCGGCCTAGAGGGCCTAGAGTCCATAGCGGAATGACGACATCTCAGTACCCTCGACCCAATGTACAAGTATTTTGTAGGGGAGGAGTGACGAAGATGCGGTCAAAGAACCCGCACAGACAAAAGCGTCAAAGGAATCTTTGTTAAAAGGATGCCCTCGTTGAAGTGAGGATGAGTTTCATTTGGAAAAACTCCGTTCGCACTTACGTAAAAAAAACTGGTACCGTATTCAGAGCATTCTTCAAACCGACCGAAATTTCTGGAACTGTCTTCTGGTTTCAACAATCCCGGAATTCACGAATTGACTTTCCTTCATTCAGCTGCAGCCCCTTTACCAACTCCTTAACTTTTACATGCCAGCTCTTTGGATATAAAATGTGAGTCCAGTTAACAAAGTTAGACTCATTGTTGCTAAGAAGCCATTCTTCGATGGACATTTTCACCTGTTTATAAAATGTGTTCAGATTAATAGGAGGATCATTTTTATTAATTTTATATAAAGTTCATCGCCCTAAAAGCTAAGTTTGCTAGCAGGTATAGCGGCGTAACCGTAATAATTTCCTGGGATGGCCATGCATTCTTCGAAGATAAGGACGAGAGCTCTAACATTCACATCCTCCTGGTATAGATTAATCTTTCGATCTTGCAGCTCCAGGCTCAGTTCCGACAATTCCTGGAGAGCGTTGCACATTAACCCCATATCGGAAATAAATTCGGTTGATGTGCTTTTTCTTTGCAGGCCCACATGCATGCATCTATTATTTTTGTCTTTTGGATTACGCGATGAATAACATCTTGCCAGCTCTCAACGGTCTCAATGGTAACCTCTACTAGCCCTGTTTCTACATGCTGGCGTAGCTACCGAACGTTAGAGGTCCTGTTATTTCTAGCCATGCATCCCTTCAACTGACGATAAGGTCGTGCAACGATGTGTGCCACTTTCATCGCACGTTGGTCCACATTACAACTTTTGCACCTCCATCACGGGAGTGTTCAAGTCTCATGAATTCAATTTATACAGATGCCAGGATAAAAATATATTCCAGAATTTCATTCTGCCTCGTACCGGCTTTCCTCCTTCTGAGAAGGAGCTTCTGCGATAAAATGGTGTTGCTTCATAAAAATACGTATGTCCGCCCATCTCTACTGACGCTACTGACCGCTACGGTGTTTAGTGGGTTCAGCGTGTTTTATAATCTCTGATTCCGGATGCGTATTACGGTTTTCGTTATCAGTGTCTGCTATACGCTATAACAGCTTATAACATGACTCAGGTTGCTCAGGTTCAATATTTAGTTCGATTTACATTGATGACATCGATTTAGTTCGTGTAGATGTGTAGGTCTCAAACGTCTCAAACGGTCTGAAAGGTTACGTATCGTTACGTATTCTGCAACGAAGACGGAGGCAGCAGGGGCAGCAGGTTGAACCAAAATGTTGGTACCTGTCTACCGGACTAGACGGCGACACGCAGTCGACCGTAATGTTTATGTAAGGATTGTGTGTGGGTGACGAGCGGTGACGAGTGCGAGACTAGTGTCATAGCCGTCATAGCCTAGGTTTGCTCAGTTTTGTCAGTGGGTTGGAGGGACGGAGGAAGATCAGGAAACCCCAAACATACGTGATTTGAAATATTACATTATTTTATATTTGAACCAAGTTTCCCTTTGTCTTTTCTGCAAATGAAAGGTTCTTTTGCCTCAGCATTCAGAGACTTGTAATGCTGGCGTGAGCTGTTGATTTAGCCATGTACATTTAGAATCTGCAATATTTGGAGACAGTCGAGCATAAAATATATTCTACTCGATTATTTATTGTGCTTTTCGATTCTTCTTTGTTTTAACTATGAGCAAACCGTGCTATTGGAAGAACAATTTTTAAAGCTGTTCAAAAGCTACCAACCCAATTCAGTTCTGTCAGTAATGAGGTAACATTCATAGAAAAACACACGTTTAAAGCATTTCATAAACGTCATAACATAACTGTTTATCTTCCATTTAATTTTAAATGTCCAAGGTGAGCTGAGATAGTGTAGTCGGTATAGTGACTAGCTACAGGCTGGATGACCAAGAGGTCGGAGTTCAAGTCCCGGTAGGGTCAAGAATGTTATATTTTAGCATCCTGTTGCACTGATTCATATCCATGATGTAGCATAGATACACATCAGGGTCAATAATTTTCTCCTCTCCATGTCATCCAGACTGGCTCTGGGGTCCACCCATCCTCCTATCCAATGGGTACTGGGGGCCAAGGCGTGAAGCTGACCATTCACCTCCATCTAGTCCCAAGGTCAAGAAAATGTGGATCTATACGTTCACTCCCACATATGCCTTCATGGTGTAATGCTTTGTTAGTTAAGCACAGGGACAAATTTACCCCTGCACCTCTGTACACTGGAAGGTGTCCACCATGATGGCACCCAAATCACAGGACGTTAATTTTCCTTGAACATCGTCTGCGAGAAACAGGATGTATGCAGCCCATTATGGCATATGCTAGTATACCATGAAGTTACGGGGGTGCTGATGTGGAAAATGTTTCGCATGCTGTAGGACAATTCCCTGTTATTAGCAGGCAGTTGGCTCATCTTCACATTTCCCAGTAATCGATGGTGAGGATATTGCATAGTCAGTTGTTATATCTGTTCCATGTATAGCATGTTCGAGCTCAGCAATCACCACTGGATTATGATAATTGAAAAGCATTTTGTGAATGGCCGCTGCAGCAGGATGGCAGCGTCTCCAACCTTTCTTAGCTGAGATTTGCTGATGAATGAACTGGTTGTAACCATAGTGCTTACATAAGTGTAGAACATGATGGTTATATTTAAGGTATGTAATTAATGGTCTCCCCATACATACAGTTATTCCACTGTTACGGGTGTCTTAGACCATGGCTCTAGTAAGAAGCCTCTCATCCTCACCTCTGTAACTTAAATATTCGTAAATGTTTGTCTTGTAATGTTGGTTTTATACTGCATTTGGTGCCAGTTTCAACCCAGTTTCTTCTTTTACTTCAGATGACAAGTTCACAGAGGTAATCTATTCTGCATGAATCATGGAACAGTTGACTTTCCTTGGTCCTAGAAAAATGCTGGGATAGTACCTTGAAGAAAAGTCACAACCCATTTCCCTCCCACATACCTCCCCGTTCATATTTCATGCTATATAACCAATACAACATTAAATAATCCAGTGGTATTATGTCTGGTGAACGTGGAGGCCAAGGCATTGGACCGTCTTTGCCGATCCATCTTCCTGGAAATATCCTATCTAGGAACGCGGATTTTTCCTGTGGGGTTATGTCAAGAGCAGTGTGTTCCAAACACCAGTTAATGGACTTGATGATCTGAAGACCCATATCAGGAATGCGATCTCAGCTATTCCAGCGGACATGCTCCACAGAACATGGCAAGTGCTCAAATATCTGGATGTTCTCCGTGCTACCAAGGGAGCCCACACCGAGGTCTGCTGAGGTCAGTAAAATACCTCCAGAGTTTCACTATGATCTGCCACAAACCGCATGTGGCTAGCTCAAATGGTTTGCACGCCACAATTTTTCAAAACCCCCAACAAGACTTTGTGGACATATTGTAGATATTATCATGTTTTCTTATATTATAGGGATGGCTGTGTGATGTGATGATAAACCATAGTATCATTTGCTTGGTTAAATTTTATATAATGTGTTTTATAAAGGAAATTTTGACCAGAGTCAACATATATTATAGTATAAGATATCTAGATCGACTATGCGTTTCTTTACAAATTTTTCTTCATTTATTAAGTCTGTTCTTTCTAGTAATTAATTATAGAACCCAGTTTGCTTCGGGGAGCTTCATCAGTTCCAAAACATTATTTCTTTAGGAGATCACCATGCAAGCAAAGCATAAGCTGTGTTTTTTTACTAACATATACAATTTTAGTTCCTTCATTGTTATTTTCAGAACTTGTTACACATATTTAATACTGATATTTGAAGAATTGGACTTGCAAGCTTATCCAGTTTGTATTCTGGTTCAAGGCTCTTGGTCCTGATTATTTGAAAGTGTAGTGTATCATTTCTTGAAAGTTTGCAGACAAATATATAATAAATGCTCTTAATAGAACTTTAAGCCTCAGGCTTAAGAAGTTATGGAAAGTGACATAGGAATGGAAGGTATTCAGTTTCTAATGTTCTGATGATGTATAGATAGCACATCCTCTTCAGGTATACCACTGAGAGGGTGGGAAAGGAGCAGCTTCTGTATGTCCTGTTTTCACATTCCTCAGAATGTTGAAATGATTTGTTTGTGATTGAGCAAGCTATCATATAGCTTTTAGCAAGAATCTCTCCTAACATGGAATGGTGCTTAACTGATTATCTGTTTCAGACTTTCACCAAGGCCAGAAACTGTAAGAATGTTGAAAATAGCAACAAGAGGAAGCAACAGAAGCTATATAAATATGATAGCCAGGAAGGAAATTCTATTTTGGATACATCCTTGGTGAGTAACACATCAAACATGTCTTTATTATTGGAATAGTTAATGATACTTTGCTTTAATAAAAAATTAACCTACAGTGTTACTGTTAGAAAGAGTGAATTTTACAGTTATAGGTACTTGTGCAATGAATGTAAGTTTTGCCCTAACATTTAATACATTTGTTCGTTGACTGAAATTTTATGTTACATCCTCTACCATGGGCTCATGATACCTATTTGGAAATATTCTTCTAAGTTACGCCATGTTGATAGGTACAGAATGTTTTTAAATATAGTTTACATGCTGAATAAATTAATCAGAAAATCCCCAGAGAAATGACTACTGTGGTAGCTTAGGCATATATAAGAGGATAACGTTAAAGGGGTGGTGAAGGTGTGGGTTGGATTCATCTGGCTTAGGGCAGAGACCAGTGGCTGGCCCTTCTGACCATAGTAATAGACCCTGTAATGGACCCTCAGGTACTTAAGGGGCAGGGTACTACTTGATTACCTGAACAGCTGTTAGCTTTTCATGATGAACAGCTCCCTGGAGTTAGTTTATGAATAGATACCAAATACATAAGGCTGCTTTTCTTCATGTAGTCATAAAAATTATCTTCCAGTGGTGCAGCAGATAAGGTAAAATTTCTGAAAGCAATAACCAGGTCAACGGATTATTATTTTATATCATTTATTATTATTTTCTCCAGCCAGAATTTTGGACTTTTCTGTAGTGCATAGATGATAGTTCTGTTTCAGACCAAAGGCCATACAAAATTCTCATATCCTGTATCTTAATTTTAATGAATTTGTTGATATGGTCAATATGAACATGCCTTTGAAAAATTATTGTCCAAGTTCCTGTATTCAAGGTGACCATCAGTTATGTATAAGAATCTTTCTAAGCTGTTTATAACTTCAAATATTTTTTAATTTTGCATTGGCAGTGTGGTTGTGCATATGGTATTTCTGTGTTACATCTTAGTTTCTCCTTTCTTGTATACATAATGTGTGTGTTAGAGAGAGAGAGAAAGACAGTATTGTGATAGTGAAAAAAGATATAAAATGTTTATGGATTTACGTATTTTGAGCTCCTCTGTATATAAAATAATGGTTTTTGGGATGCTGTCTGTAAGTATGGACATGGATGTATGCTTCGTTGGCACCCATATGGAATGAATTCTGTTCATTTTCTGTTTTTAAATGTTCATCTGTCATAAGTTTGTGCCCACTGAACATTTCAAGCTAAAACAGTAGGGGACCTTCAGATGGACCACACAAGATGTCAATTTTTAAAAAAAATGACCATAATGAATGCGATTAAACTTGAGCAGTTTTGGAGACCATCTCCCCAAATAAAACTTTATAGGTCGTATCTTCAGGTAGATAACAGTACACTACCGGAGGCTCAGATGCAAAATGACAATTTTGTCAAAACTGGCATTACCAATTGGGTGGATCTTATTGTTGTTTGACAAAACCTTTAATGTACGGACTTTTAAATTGCTGGCAGACATCTGTGACCGGAATTTAAATGGTGCTAAGTCTTTAATATTGCAGACTTTAAAAAAAACTACATATTTTCTGTTCTATGCAACATAGAAATGCAAACTAAAAACACACTGAAAGACAATAAAATTTTCTACATATACACAAAAGATCAATTTCTACAAATGAAAATTAACTGTGATTATTTTGTCATGAAATGCAAAATGTAATCTTTATTACACATGTTATGAAATTGCAAAGGACATACCCATAATTTTTTCTTTAACCTTGAGACATGGTGATTCACAGTTTATGATACCTCACACTCTGATGCGCGTGTGCCACTTCGCAAAGCAGTCCATGACACACATCACATCATACTTTTTACAATAGAAAAGGGTGGTCCTGCTTTTCTTATTTAGTGAACATACACGGCGTCTTTGTTTCCCTTTGATCGGCCAGTGTTGTGAATGTTTCGCCTCCATTAGACTCGGTTGGGCCCCAGATGAACTTGGCCTCCCCTGAGAAATGCCACTGACCGTGAAATTCGCCTTGTGTGATTGAAGAATCATCTTGGGGAGGGGGAGTTTCCAGCTAAATTGAATAAGTTATGTTGAGTGACAAATCGACACTCTCACCTGTTAGTAATACTTGCAAAATAGTGATGCAAAGTAATTATAATACTAGTCGAAAAGAGTGCCAGTCCGACACTGATACTGCAAGTCACAGTGATGAATATGCCTTTTACTCACAAAGTAATACTGGCTCAGTGGGTTTATACCTCTTCTGAGACACAAAATAAAAATGATATATGAGGGTCAGTCAAAAAGTTCCCAGAATGGTGGTATAGCACTTTAATGGTAGGACATACGGCAACGCTTACCTAATCACCTTCAAAGTAGGACCCTTGTGTGCGCACACACTTGCTCCATCAATCCTGCCATTGTTGGAAGCATCGGTGCAAGGCTTCTTTTGGAATCTTCTGGAGCTCAGCCATCAAATTCGATTTGATGTTCTCCATGGTTGCAAAACATGTCCACTTGAGGCCCATTTTCAGAGTAGGGAACAGCCAAAAGTAACTCAGAGAGAGATCTGGAGAGTATGATGGTTGAGTGATGACAAGAATGTTTCTCTTGGCGAGGAATTGCTGCACAACAAGTGATGTGTGGCTTGGTGCGTTATCGTGATGCAGAAACCACTGTCCCTGCCCCTTGTTGCACCGCATCGCACAACCTCTGCAAAACTTGAATGTAGAAATGGCTAGAAACAGTACCAACTTCTTGCGCCAACTCCGCAATGGTCATTCTTCAATCACATTGAATCAGTTGTCGCACTTTTCCAATCATTTCTTTGGTTCTGGATGTCGAAGGTCTCCCGCTGCACTGGTCATCCTCTAATGTCTCCTGCCCTTTCTTAAACCAGGAAAACCAGTTGTAAACTGCGAATTTCTTTAGTGCAGTATCACCGTAAACTTTCTGCAGGGCCGATAGCATCTCTGAAGCAGATTTTCCCAATTTGCACATGAACTTGATGTTCGCATGATGTTCGAACTGCGACATTGCGCCTAATGACCAACACTCATGTCTAATTCAAATGAAACAGTAACGATACTGCACACTTAAACCTGTCCAGACCTGTTGCGCCTGCGAGCAGACATGCTGAGCTTCCCACCACCACAGTGTATGCACTATCTTATCGCTTGTTCTCTGTCTGCAGGGGAATTCCGGGAACTTTTCGACTGACCTATGTATAAACAAATGTATAACAGTCTGACCCTGACTTTCTAACTGCTAGAGATATATATGACACTCCGACACTGACTTCCTAACTGATAATTTGCTACTGAAAATCAGACCTTAAATACAACACACTTCCTTGAAAGCTCTGGAAGCACTAATCTGTGAGCACAGATGAATATTTATTCCTCAGTTCTCAAAACAAAGCTGGGCTCTATTTGGCTGACCAGGTCATAAACAGTCATATCTAAACATAAATAGTATTGAAACCAGTACCGTAATAAACGATTTCATTGTTCAGAGCTAGCGAATGAGCCAGTGACATGACCTTGTGTGGGTTTGTTTTGGTTTCAAACTCAAGATCAAACTGTCAGCACTCCCAAAGGGAGCACATGCCCTGCCTTATATAAATATAACATTCCGCCACAGCAGGGTGTTATTTGCTGTAGATATATATATATAACATTCGTCCTTAAAGGTTAAACAGCAGACAGCAGTCTGCTAGCAAAAACTGATTTCATTTCTGATGTAGTGTATTTAGGGTCACTGTCATTCTGACTGACTGTTGGCTTCTCACGAAGAGCCCAGCTCTGGAATTTCAATAGTTAGTTATGTTCAGCAAAAATACATGTAAAACTGAAATCCCTGATTGCGTTGGTTGGTTTGGCATGTGGAATGATGGATTATGGAATTGGTAAGACAGTATTCCCAGCTTTTAACAAGATTGTATTTAATGCATGTTTGTAATTGTTTGATTTTTTGTAATGTCATATTTTGTGTTTTTTATTTGCATATAATTTGGTATGTTTTGGGTAGTACAAAGTGGTGATATACATAGAGGAAAAAATTATCAAAGAATTTAACATTGCCAGATAGTTTTAAATTAAAATAAAAAAGTTTAAGTCACTCATGTAATCATAATGCTTGTACAGAAGTATATAAACCAAGCTTTAATATTTGTAGTCCTTAATTCCTTAATTTGGGGGCACACAGTAGTGAAGTTGGTTGAGGCACTATGCTACGAGCCGGAAGGTTGTGGGTTCAAGTCCCAATGAGGTTATTGGATTTTTTCAATTGATCTAATCCTTCCAGCTGCACTATGGCCCTGGGGTCAACTCAGCCTCTAACATAAATGAGTACCAGGAATTAATTAATTAATTTTTGTGGGTAGTACAGTGCGGCCGGCGTGTAAGGCTGACAACCTTACCGCCATCTTTGAGCCAATTGTCTAGATAATGTGGGACCCTCATCTTACAATCCTATGGGCCTACACGGCCTGTTACAAGAATAGCTTTACTTTTTACTTTTTTTTTAATTCCTTAATTTGGTAGTGTACAATAATTTGCAAGCAGTCTTGGTGATGGGTTGTTGGACAATATCTGTATTACTACTGAAATTAATATACTGGTGGCTGGTTTAATGCAAAATCTAAATATCAGTTTTATTTCAGATCAGATAAACATGCTTCAGAAAGTCATATTGGGAGCCTTGTTCATAGCTCTTGGTCAGGGCCAGTTCCAAGGTCCTCCAAGACCTGCTGGTCGTATTCTGGAGCCTCCAGTACCTGTCCTTTGTGCTCAGAGTAAGTGAAAATTATTAGTTCTGTAAGAATGTGCATTGAAATTGGGGGGAGGGGATCATTATGATTAATCCCCCTTTTGTCAGTGCATGACAAGTATCTTTCCCGTTCAGTCGGGTGGGCAGGCGGGCGCGTAAGGCTGACAACTTTACTGCCATCTGTGAACCAATTGTCTAGAAGGTGTGGGAGCCTCAACCTCTGACACCCCTATGGCCCTTCACATCCTGTAATAGGGACAGCTTTACCTTTAAGACCTGGGATAGCGTAGTCTATATAGCAGCTGGCTACAGGCTGGATGACTGAGGGGTCAAGAATTTTCTCTTCCCCAAATTATCGAGACTGGCTCTGGGGTCCAGCAAACTTCCAATCCATTGGGTACTGGGGACACTTTACCCGGGGGGGGGGTGAAGCGGCCGGGGCTTGTAGCTGACCACTCAACTCTAGCTAGTGCCAAAGTCAAGAACATGTGAATTTATATGTCCACTCCCCCATATGCCTTCGTGGCGTAGTGTGTAATTAGTTAAACATGGACAACTTTACCTTTACAGTGTAATGTCATAAGTGTGCATATACTGAAACTGTGTAAAGGAGTCACATGAGGAATATAGGGAAGTATGCTGGGGGAGGTAGGGAGGAATATATGGGCAAGTATGCTGGGGGAGGTAGGGAGGAATATAGGGAAGTATGCTGGAGGAGGTTGGGAGGAATATAGGGAAGTATGCTGGAGGAGGAAGGGATGCATGAAGTATTACAAAACTCTAGATATAAGTTATGAGAAGTCCAGCCATGTCTGGGAATAAGAGGAATTGACAATGATTGAAGTTTCCCAGCAGTTCAGTTGGGTACCAAATATGAGCTATTATTTGAAATAATCTGTATCAGTCAACCCACTGTGTGTTTCCTGTAAGAATTCTTATGATTTCTACGCCATCTTTTGCGTACTAGTAATGGGAATTAGTTTTCTGCAGAGATAATTTTTGTCACATCTTTCATTGTTTCAGTGAACATCTGTGTGTGCAAAGCTGTTGAGTTCATGGTGCAGTCACCAAAACTTGTTTTAGTGTAGGTTTTGTATGTTCATTAATTCATTATTCATTATTAGAGGGGGTGGGTTTCCCCATGCACTTAGACCAGTTATTCATCCATTGTGCGTCCCCCTTTAATTTCTGCTGTCGCCATACCCTTCCAGTACTGGTGCTTGCTATCAGCCCCTTTCTGCCAGCGAGGTCAACCCTCTTCTGGCAGTGGTACCTGATACTTCCCCATCTACCGGAGGCATTGGAAACTACTTGGGCAGGAAACTTTGCCTAATTTTGCTCAGAGGTCTCCTAGAGACATGAGGATCTTTTACATGCCATAAATCTACGACACAGAACCCGCGGCTTAAAGTCCCTCCTGGAGGACTTGTTCCCTGAATTTTTCCACCCTTAAAAATTCCATGACCTCCGCTGGGTTTCAATCCGCGTACCTTGAGTCATGAGGTGGGAACATTACCCCTGGAGGCCGCTTTTTGTATGTTGCTGTACCATAGAAGTTTCCCCCCTGCCCTTGAGAGGACATTTAAAACTTCAATTTTCCATCAGCGTGTATCATGTCCGAGAACAAAGGGAAGCATGCTTTTCATGTAGATGAAAGAAAAGGTGATAATTTGAGTGAGTTTTAGTGTGATGTTTTGTCTAATTGCCATAGAGAATGTGATGGAGAATATGTTAGTGACAAGTTAGTTGAGAGTTGAACTCTGCAAGGAAGGCTGAGGAGATGGTACTATGAGTTCAAGTGTGGAGTGTTAACCAGCTGGCAATGGCTTGGCCATGGAAGCTGAAGAATCTCCACTGTGTTAAATCTGTTGCCAGGATAGGCTGAGGACAGTGGTCTGTGTGTGTGTGTCAGTGAAGTATAGTTCCAAATGGTGTATACAGTGGCCAATCCAATTCACCAATCCATACCTTCTCTGTAGCCACACACTCCTCAAATTGTGACAGTATGTTACTTGACCCAGTTAACTAATATAAAATTAAATTTGATTACAGGAACAATCCATGAGAGAGTTAATGGAAAAGGATATTTTTATTCGTGGAAGGACCCACGTACTGCCACAGTGGAAGAGGATTGGCTGGGTGGTCGCAATTACTGCCGGCAGCGTTGTATGGACCTTGTCAGCCTGGAGACTAGTACTGAGAATGAATTCATCAAGAGGCGTATTGTTGAAGGTAAAGTTAGGAGTATTATACTGATAGTGTGCCCGGTTATAAGTGGATGTCTCCTAAGTGTGAGACTTATGTTCCTGAAAAATGGTACATTGTGGGCCAGTACAGTTCAGGTAGGGGAATGATAGGATATAGAGTGGTCAGCCAAGGTTTGATTCTCTGTTAGGGCATTAGTCTCCCCCTCCCCCAGGGCCTTGCAGCATTCTGAATGTCTCTGATGACCATCCAGATTCCTGTGCAGAGGGTACTGGGATGTCCATCCAGCAGTAAGGGAGATTGAATGAATGCATAAGAGGTAGGTCTAGACCAGCCCTTGCACTGTGACCTTCAGAGATCTATTTTGCACCCCCTTCTGTTTCAGCCCTCCAGCAATCCCATACTTTAAACGAAGTGTACTGTCTTACTTACAGAGGCATCTTGGTAGTCACCTGGCTCCAGAAAGTAGTAACTCAGGTGACAGAATCTTAAGTGAGCTATAGCCTCACAGTTTCATAGGATGTGTGTTGCTGATCCATCTTCATCTAGTCTCAAATAGAACTGTTCGTCAATCCCATTTTGAAGAGGAGTCCTTTCATGTGATAGCGTCCTGTAAGTAGCCCTGTCACCCACTGTAACGGGTTTCTCTTTTAATAGTTCCTTGGTTCTTTTGACATAGGGTCCTTACAGGAATCCATTTGCCTGTTTGAGTTCCAGTAAGAACTCCCAGTATTTTTTAGTCTCTTTTTTCCAGTTCCAGACAGCCTTCTAGGAAATTCCTGCTGGAATTCTGCNATGATAGAGACTAAGAGCTCAAGGAGAAAAGAAAAGACTGATTGGTTGAAGAAATAGTGTAACTAGGTATATACCATATTTGCCCGTCATTCCAGATGGATGTTGGGATAGTGCTTTGAAGTAGGCCATGACTGCTTCCTGTCACATCGTTTCCATTCGCCAGTTTTTGTCACCATCTCATCTTCTGGATGTTACATAAACACACCACCTGGCATTGTAAAATAAACTAAGAACCATATTTTTATTTACATTTACACTGTTAGTGTTCAAACATATATATTTTAAATAATTTTCCAAAGTCGTGGTATAAGCAGCCCACCTTGGTTGTAACATATGTATTTCCCTGATTTTACATTTGTTTAGGCTGCCCCTTAAACTTTAACATAACATACTTTTAAATTTCTGGGAGCCCTCTGCAGCTGGAATTTAAATCGCCCTAATTAATTATCATTGCAAACTTTCAGAAAAAACTACGAATTTTCCGTTCTATGCAACATAGAAATAGAAACTAAAAAACCTGAAAGACAATAAAATGTTCTACATATACACAAAAGAGCAATTTTTACAAACGAAAATTAACTGTAATTATGTTGTCATGAAATGCAAAATATAATCTTTATTATGTTATGAAATTCCAGAGGACTTACCTATAGTTTTTTTTTTCTCCCCAAATTTGAGACTTGGTGATATTGTAAATATAATCACACTATATACAACAATATTTTATTCAGACTGTATGCGAGTTTGAACTGCATCACTTCACAGTTAACGATACCTCACATTCTGTCGCGCGTGCCACTTCTCAAAGCAGTCCTTGACATGCAGTGGTACATCACACTTTTTGCAATAGAAAATGGTGCTCCCGCTTTTCTTATTTAGCGAAACCCACCATGTCTTTGTTTCCCTTTGGTTAGCCAGTGTTGTGAATGTTTCACCTCCAGTCGACTGAGTTGGGCCCCAGATAACCTTGGCCTCCCCCAAGAAACGCCACTGACCGTGATATTCGCCTTGTGCGATTGAAGAATCATCTTGGGGGAGGGGGTTTCCAGCGAAATTGAATAAATTATGTTGATTGACAAAGCGACACTCTCACCTGTTAGTAATACTTGCAAAATAGTGATGCAAAGTAATTATAATACTAGTCAAAAAGAGTGCCAGTCCGACACTCATGCCGAAAGTCACAGTGGCGAAGATGCCTTTTACTCACAGAGTAATACTGGCTTGGTGGGTTTATACCTCTTCCCACACACAAAATAAAAATGATATATAAAGAAATATATGACAGTCTGACTCTGACTTTTTAACTGATAAAGAAATATTAGACAATCCGACACTGACTTCCTGACTGATAATTCGACATTGAAAACCAATCCTTGAATGTGTCACACTTCCTTGAAGGCTCTGGAAGCACTCATATGCAAGCACCGATGAATATTTCCTCACCAGTTCTCAAAACAAAGCTGGGCTATATTTGGCTGACCAGGTCATAAACAGTTGTATCTAAACGTAAATGTAAATAGTATCGAAACCAGTACCGTGATAGATGATTTCATTGTTCAGAGCTAAGGAATGAACCACTGACATGACCTTACGTGGGTTTGTTTTGGTTTCAAACCCAAGAGCAAACTGTCAGCACTCCCAAAGAAAGCACTTGTTCTGCCGCATATAAATATAACATTCAGCCAACGGGATGCTGCTTGCTGCATATATATAATATTCAGCCATTAAAATTGAGGCATCTCTGTACATATGAAGAAAGATGATGTTTAATTTTACCTTCATGTAAATCGAGAGTTATAATTTAGCAATGGAATTAAAATGAAATTTCTTTGACAGATTTTGGTATAGAATGCCAATTCCAGATTGATCAAAACTTGTCTAATGGTTTGGGAGATGAGGCATATTGATGTGTATGATACTCCAATTACACTCCCATTTTGTGAAAGGGATTTGTGAAAATGTATGTTATATGTGCTGAGCTTAAATTATGTATTTCTCCAGTTTGTTCTTATGAAAGTGGAAGTAAATTTAACTGTCCTGTTTTTTCTGGACAATTGGTCATCCTGAGAATTGTACATTGAATACTTGGGCTGTTGTAACATTAGACAGGAAGCAGCGGCAAGAAGAACATACAGATGCGAAAGGATTTTGTGAACTTAATTGTGTATCATAAATAATTGTGTTCGTTTTAATTCCCAGTGTATTGTTATATATGCAAGTGATCATATGTTAACACATTCACATTATTCTTGGTGTAGGCAATGTAAAATATATCTGGACAAGTGGTCGTCTTTGTGACTTCAAGGGTTGCAGCAGACCTGATCTGCAGCCTCTGAATATTAATGGCTGGTTCTGGACTGCAGAACTTAAGAAATTACCTCCCACTAATAATCGTGCACAGAATGACTGGAGTGAAACAGGAGGGTAAGTTGTATATAATGTTCAGAAAGTTGTGACAGTTTTTGACATAATGTTCTGAAAGGACATTAATGTTTCAAATACAATATACATTGTTTATAGTAATGAGGGAAATGGAACTTTTCAGGTTATCAGAATTTAGTGTTGACAGCAGAAAGTAAAGAACTTATTTTATGTATGCTTTGTAATTGTATTCTGATACAATGCAAGCATTTTGATTGTGTAGTATTTTTGCTGTTATCCCCTGCTGCATACATGGAAGCCACATACATGACTTCTCTACCACACTCCATGTTTCTCTGTCTGCTACACTCACACTTAGAATAGACAATTTAATTGTACTCTAGAAAATAGAATTCTTCATAGTCGCCACTAAGAACCTCAAAATCAACACAGAATCCATTGCTTTTAAACACTCTAAATAATTAAAAAGGTTGGAATCCAGAAGATGGAAACAAATTGTCAACATAAATAAATGTTACAAAACTGTAAACTTCAAAGCAGTGTTTGAATTTTGTAATTAGTGTGGTTCATTCTTTATAAGATTCTTTCAGAGGTTGAGATTGAGTAAACAGTGTATTGATCTCTTGTGTCAACATGAATATTTTTGCATGAATGTAAGCCTGAATTTGACATTTAATGCATGAAAACAAAAACATCTATAATACTAGTAAGTTAAAAGGGAAATGAAGCTTGAGTCAGAAGGGCCATATTAACTTGTGGTTTGTTACTGTAAAATAGAAGTTATAATTATACCAAAATGAACTTCACCTGACAGTTTTAAGGAGCACCTCCTATAACAAATTTCAATAATATTCTTCATTACACAGGGCCTATTGGTGATTGCAAAATATTCATGGGTACAAAAGGAAACAGTCTCCCTGCATGGTCTTCATCATTTTGTACATGTGTATGTAGAATGCTTAACAGGTGTAAACTCTGTTTTGTTGTACAGAATTAAGAAACCTCAGCCGGACAACCGAGAGTTTATCCAGCAAAATGGTGCTCCTGAGAACTGTCTAGCTATACTGAACAATTTCTATAATGATGGTGTTCATTGGCATGACGTTGCTTGTCATCATCGGAAACCATTTGTGTGTGAAGACAGTGAATCACTGCTGAAGTATGTTCGTTTTACAAATCCAAATCTGCGTGTATAAACAAGCACCAGAGGCTTTCAACAAGGTATGAATCATCAGGGATGTGTTGTTAACCTTTTATTTATTCCTTTTAGAAAATTCTGGATGGCATATTGAAACATTTTCTTGGTAGAGTAGACTCAGTTATGTGCATTTGTTTATCCACTTTGTGGATTAACATCAAGGATGTGATTAAGTTTTCATTTGTTCGTAACAGTGTGTCATAGCATCCTGTTGCACGTGTATTCCTGTTAGTTATTATCCTTCTCACATGCAACTTGGTTTTTAAAACCTTTAAAAGTTTTAAACCTTAAAATTTCTTTTGCATCACTGATCACACCACATGTTTTGACTAACACCGGTCATCTTCAAGTGACTCTAAAATTGCTGGTGAAACTGCTGTGCTTCAGTCCATAAGTTCAATATTTGGGGTATGTCCTTGTCTGTGATCCCATGTGTCCTATGTTGTTGGGTAGTTCCTTGTATTGTTTCATGTGTAGCCGTTATGAATGTTCATTCATAACAGCTGACTCTAAACTTGTTGATGAAACTGCTACACACAGCTACACATGACACAATAGGAGGACCTACCTATCACCACAGGACACTGGGGCATACCCCAAAAATTGAACTTACGGACTGAAGCACAGCAGTTTCATCAGCAATTTTAGAGTTACTTGAAGATGATCCATGCTGATTGAAACAGTAGTGTGCATACATCAGTGATGCAGAAGAGACTTTAATGTTTAAAACTTTTAAAGGGTTTAAAAAACAAGTTGCATGTGAAGTGGATGATAACTAACAAGAATAAATTTCATTTGTTCCTTTTAGAAAATTTTTGAAGGCATATACGATCTGTGGGACATTGGAACATTTTTCTGGCACAATAGACTCGATTATTTGCATGCAGTTTATCCACTTTGTGGATTAACTGCTTAACCCCTCAGTTCTTGGCTGTAGCATCCCATAATAATTTAAGTGTTGCCTGTCACATCTGTTTCAACAGTATGTGTTAAGTGATCTTTCCAGTGATTTTCAGAGACTACATTAGATTCTCCTTCAGCTCCCTGTTTTGTTATTTTATTGCTTTTCCTGCTTACCAACTTTTGTTTGAAACATATTGTCACTGTTTAATGACCAGTAAGTATTAAATAAAGGATTTTTAGGGTTGAATGCAGTGTGGATGGCAGGTATTCCCATATTTTTTGAGTACCCATTATTTTTAATTACCTGCACTACTGGTGTCCTTTATTAGTGCTGATAATTGAAAGTTCACTTTATAGGATAACTCAAAGCACATACGGTCTGTGTTTTCTTGGATACAGTTGTTTCCTAATGCCTATGTGTGTTCAGTCAAGTAGTTTTAATGGATGGGGACTAAAATTTGAAATTTATGTAAATTCAGGTAAGCTTGTGTTAGTCAGAAATGGTTGATTATACCCAGTAATATGAACATGAAACACTGTTTTTGAGGATGTAAAATAAAATATAATTACTATTTCTTTGCAAAACTACAGCCATGATTGGCCATGATATTATTTGTCAAAATCATATATTTTTGTAACATCAGAAGATGTTTTGATACAAACAGAAAGAGGGAGAATTCACTTAATAGGAATTGTACTAATTGCTCCAGCAACAACAACCACACTAGCAAGATCAATTCTGTTGATGGAAAAGGAAATGCATAAAGTGCCTGAGTCATCAAATCAGACCTGTGTATCAGACACATCCAGTGTTTTGTTTTACTATATGCAGTTGCCCTCTGTGGTAGAGCCAAAAATATAGGTCATTCCTGAATAATTAAAATAAAACTAAAATTATAAAAGAATCAGCAAGCATTCAGTGAGACTTGCATATGTCGATTCTTTGGAGGATAGCACTAGAAGGTTTAACATAACTGTTATTGTCTCAGTTTGAATGAATGTGTACTGCTTGCAAGAAGAGCCCTGTGAGCTGATTGTTTGGAAGGAATGGAAAAGCATACATTACAGACATTCCCCATTAATGATGACGCTGCTGCTGATGACAAGGTTGATGATGATGATGATGATGATAGATGGTCATTTACATTTTAATGTGTATGATGACATGATGCAGTTGATTCACAACACTCCAGTTTAGTCCTGAATACCGCAGGAATGTTTAATTCTGTTTTGAAGTGGATCATACTGAATTACTGCAATGAAAGCAACATTTTAGTTTACATTAAATATAGTGAACAACTAATGAATATTGAACAGTGAAGTGTTTGACTACAGTAAAAATACATGGTAGAGTCATTAAGTTCGTGGAATGTGGTTTTATCGCATCATGTTACAAGGTATTCACATACACTTACGCAGATCCACATCAGCCCTCAAAATAGTTGCTGTTGGCTGCTACGCAAGTCTGCCAACGTTGATATAGCTGTCGAAAACATTGCTGAAACATATTGGCAGTAAATTCCCGTACGACGCTTTGCGGCCATTCCACGAACTTATTGACTGTGGTAGTATAGTCAGCTTCATGTTTAAATACTGACTTAGCTGCTGAATGTAAGGAAGACAGTATCATAGAACATATTGTTACTCTCTTCAGTTCCACTATTTGAGGAGCTTGCGACTGTCCTGAGACAGTTCTCTTTATTTCATATTATGAAAACCTGCTTCTTGAGATCATTTTTAATCAGATCCTGTAATCTCAGTCCTGTTCCCTGAAGAAGTTTTGTTCTGTTTTCTACTTCTTATACCTGAAGTATATGTCTAGCTGACAGTCTTCTTGATTGATCTTTCTTAATAGTAGGAGGACAATAAACTCTGAACTCATTTAAAATCATTGTAGTTTTATTTTTTTAGAAACTGAGAACCAAAACCTGATCCATAAGAAGTATTTTAGTAATAAAGATTTGCAAGAATTGTGTCTAGAAAGAAAGTCCATTTATATTGAAAGTTCTCATGTTGGTTACTTAATTCATTTTTGTAAAGTGCTGTATTAACTACTGACATTATGTAGTGCCAAATGAGGTATGTGACATTAATTATGAATAGTAATTCCAGGGAATGTTGAAAGAAACATTTATGGCCTGTATTAAAATACAGTATTATTTGAGTGTTCTTTACATGTAGTTTTCTGTAAAATTGATTTTTATAATAACAGAATGAATTATGGTATATTTATATAATTAATATGTAAATTTTACTGATTATATTATGTTGATATTTAGTATATTGACATCCATTTTACATAGAATTAGGGTTGCAGCTATGTAAACCAAGGGTGATCGTAGCTATGATTCCAGGTTCCAAAGAAACTAATTTTTCATTAACTATGTTGTATATTGTTTTTTGTTCTTGTAGTTTTACAGTAATGAATGTTAAATTAAATATGAACTGTGCTTTGATGTGATAGTAACATACTACCCTGATTGTAACAGGAAAATCATTAAAACAGTTCAGATATACTGCTCCAGTGTGTCATGCTTGACTTTGAAATCTGGCATAATAATACCAGGTTGGTCTGTGCCAATGATGTGAATCTACTGGATTATATTAGATACCATAAAGAAAAACACACAAATGTTAATTGATGCAAGTAAGGAGGTTGATCTAGAAGTAAACACAGAGAAAACTAAGTATATGTTGCTGTCTCGTCACCAAAATGCAGAGCAAAATCATGACATAACGACAGAAAACAGATGTTTTGAAAATGTGGCACAGTTCAGATATTTGGGCATGACAATAACAAATCAAAACCTGATTCAGGAGGAAATTTACACGAGATTGAAATTCGGTAATGCTTGCTACAATTCAGTCCAGAACCTTTTATCTTCTCATCTGCTGTCCGAAAACATATAAATTAGAATATACGAAACTATAAACTATAACTATAAGGAAGTTTGGAGATAGATGAAGAACTGTGTGCTTGCTTTATAGACTGGCAGAAGGCATTTGACCGTGTAAAGTGGACCAAATTAACGCAGATCCTAAAGGAAACAGGTATCAATTAGCGTGAAAGAAGATTGATTAGTAAATTGTACATGGATCAGAAAGTTAGAGTGAGACTGGACAGAGGGGAGACAAGAAGTGTGAAGATTGGAAGAGGGGTTCGACAAGGATGCTGTTTATCACCAATTTTGTTCAACTTGTACAGTGAATGCCTTACCAAAGAAGCTCTGGACGGGCTTGGAGACTTCAAATTAGGAGGGCAAATTATTCAAACTGTGAAATGTGCAGATGACCTTGAGTTAATGGCTAAGGAAGAAACTGTGCTACAGGGTATGATTGATAGACTAATCAAAATTGGAAGGTGCTATGGCATGGAAATGAATGTGGAAAAAATAAAAGTAATGAAAATTTTGAGACAACCAACCCCAGTCACAATAAAGATAGACCAAAAACAACTGGAGAATGTGAAATGTTTTAAATATTTGGGTAGCTTTTTAACAGATGATGGAAAGTGTACGTGTGAAATTAAATCTAGGATTGCCATGGAAAAGCTGCATTTAGCAAGAAGAAGAATCTTTTTACCAGCAAATTGGACTTAAATTTGAGAAAGAAACTAGTGAAATGCTACATTTGGAGCATTGCTTTGTATGGAGCGGAAAATTGGACACATAGGGCA